AAAAGCCCCGTTCGTAAGTGCAGATCCGACGTAAGTCGGATCCGCGTAAGTCGGGGACTGCCTGTAGTGAGTTTCCACTTTTGTCCATGTGGGTCTCTTCATACACCAATAGAGGAGAAAGATACTTTAAAAAGATAGGAAAATCTGATTACCATCCTACAAAATTGACAGGAAGATTTAGGACAAGTGTCGTTTTTGTATCTTTTAAAATGTTTTGAAAATTAATTAGTTTTCAAATTAACAGTGCACATTTAGTTTCATAAAAACATTATATACCCAGCTTGTTTCTTTAGAAGTACATGTTTTCAACACTGCATTAATTTTAAAATCCTTGTTATATCTTTTTTTCCCATGACATAAGAACAGGCATGCTGGGTCAGATCACAGGTCCATGTAGCCCAGTATCCTGTCTTCTGACAGTGGCTAGTGCCACAGACAGTGTTGACTTCAAGTTGTCATTGTCAAGTCTCGAGTCCCTAACGTCACATTCGAGTCAAGTCCTAACTCGAATCTCCAGTCTTAATTTAAAAAATGTCAAGTCACTTTTGTACAAGCCATCAATATCGGCATTTTCAGACTATTTTTTCGCCAAGTCGATTTAACAAAATTAGCGAGTCTCAAGTCACAAACAATGAAGTCGAGTCTCAAGTCGAGTCACCTAGGTGACTTAAGTCGGACTTAAGTTCAAGTCATGGGACTTGAGTCAACAAATCTGGGCCCAGAGAAAATGAACAGAACAGTACTTATCAAGTAATCCCTCCGCTGTCACCCATCCACAGTTTCTGACAAACGGAGGCTAGGAATATCATTCCTACCCATCCTGGCTAATAGCCATTGATGGACCTATCCTCCATAAATTTATCTAGCTTTTTTTTAAAATCCTGTTACACTCTTGGTCTTCACAATGTACCGTGGCAAGGAATTCCACAAGTGGACTGTGTGTTGTATGAAGAAATACTTCCTTTTATTTGTTCAATACCTGCTGCCTGTTCATTTTATTTGGTGACTCCAAAATAAAATTCTTGTATTTTATGAGAAGGTGTAAATAGCACTTCCTAATCTACTTTGTCTACACCAGTCCATGATTGTATACACTTCAGTCATATTCCTTTAGTAGTCTCTTTTCCAAGATGAAAAGTCCTATTCTTATTAATCTCTCCTCATACAGAATGCATTCCATACACCTAATCATTTTTGTTACCCTTTTCTGAACATTTTCCAATTCCAGTATATCTTTTTTGTGAGATGGGGTGCTTGCATCTGCACATAGTATTGAAGCTGTGGGCATACCACGGATTTATATTGAGGCAATATTCTATTTTCCATTTTATTATCTGTCCTTTCTTAATGATTCCCAACATTCTGTTCCCTTTTTTGACTGCCACTGCACATCGAGTGGATGTTTTCAGAGAACTATCGACAATGACTACAAGATCTTTTTCTTGAATGGTAACAGCTAATGTAGACCTCTTCATTTTATATGTATATTTGGGATTGTTTTCCAATGTGCATTACTTTGTATTTATCAATATGAAATTTCATCTGTCATTTTGTTGCTCAGTCATCCAGTTTTGAGAGATCACTGTGTAGCTCTTCGCAGTCTGCCTGGGTATTAACTATTTTGAGTAGCTTTGTAGCATCTGCATATTTTGCCACCTCTCTATATACATCTTTTTCCAGAACATTTATGATTGTTGAATAGGACTGGGTCCCAGAACAGATCTCTTTCCATTCTGAAAACTGACCATTTATACCTATCCTTTCCCCCCTATCTTTTCTCCAGTTACCAGTTCATGAGAGGACCTTCCCTCTTATCCTATAGCTACTTATTTTGCTTAAGACACTTTGGTGAGGGACCTAGTCAAAGTCTTTCTGATAATCTAAGTACACTATATCTACTTGTCCACAAGCTTGGTGACCCAATGAAAGAATTCTAGTAGATTGGTGCGGCATGTTTTCCCTTTATGAAAACCAGAACTTTTCCCCCAAAAATTATGTTAATCTATGTGTCTGACAATATTGTTCTTTGCTATAATTTTAACTAGTTTATCTGGTACTGAAGTCAGGTTTAGCAGCTTGTAATTGCTGGGATCACCTTTGAAGCTCTTTTTAAAAATTGGCTATTTTATTTGCTTTCTTCTAGTCATTTGGTACAGAAGCAGATTAAGTCACAGACTATCGTTAGTAGTTTTGTAATTTTCACATTTATATTCCTTCAGAACTTGGCTGAATATCGTCTGGTCCTAGTGACTAATTATTGTATCAGTTCTAAAATTTCCTCTAATCAGACCTCAATCTTGGGACAGTTTCTCAGATTTGTCACCTTAAAAAGAATGGCTCAGGTTTGGGAATCTCCATCAGATCCTCAACTGTAAAGACTAATGCAAAGAATTAATTTAGTTCCTTCACAATGGCCTGATTGTCCAGTGGCCCCACTGGTTGTTGCTTCTGAATTATTATTATTATTATTATTTTTTTGCTATTACTTTTTGAGTCTTTGGCAAGCTGCTCCGCAAATTCTTTTTTGGCCTTCCTAAATATATTTTTATATTTAATTTGCCTTCCTATTTTCCAGTTTCTAAATGATACCTCTTTGCCTTTCACTGCTTCTTTTACTAAACAGTCATGATTGCATTTTCTTAGGTTCTCATACTGTGTTTTTTAATTTGAGGTATACATTTAAGTTCAGACTCTATTATTGTGTCTTTAAAAGGTTTCCCTGCAATTTTCAGGGATTTCAATTTTGTCGCTGTATTTTTTTTAAATTTCTGTTTAACCTCCCCCTTTTGTGCAGTTACCCTTTCTGAAATTAAGTGCTACAGTGTTGGACTCCTGTGGTATTTTTCCTGCCATATGGATGTTACATTTATTTACATTGTGCTCATTATTACCAAGTGGTCCAGCTACATTCATTTCTTAGATCAGATCCTGTGCTCCACTTAAGATAAATCAAGAATTGACTCTTCTCGTGTGGGCTTTAGGACCAGCTGTTCCAAGAAGCTGTCATTTAGGGTGTCAAGAAATTTTATCTCTGCATTTTCTTCTGGGGTGACATATAGCCAGTCAAAATAGTTGAAATCTCCCATTA